ACGTTGCTCATGGAGCTTTCCCAAGACGAGCTAAGCAAAGAGAGCCTCCAATCTTTGCTGCACAAGTTGGAGACAGAGTCCCCAGATGCGGTTGATGCTCAAGATTCAGAGCTCCGAAAAATGTGCGAGGCGTACGAGCAAGAGCGGCTCGGACGCAAAGATACGCAAAGCTTCGTGGACTGCAGGCTTCAGGTGCATGACTAGCCGACTAGCCCGTATGTCGACTTGGACCCTCAATCGTAACCACGAACACACTACCGCATACCCGTTGCCCGGCTTCAACAGAACATGGTTTACCACTGCTTGCTCCGTCTGTCAACCTGTGGTGATTCTCCCGAACGGCACTGCTTCTCTGCTTCGCATGACGGTTCAAGCAGAGATGGTCGCGAGAAGGATGGCAATTGCAGGAGCCAGGTTTCAGACTGAAGATCTCGTTTCAGAACAGCAGGCAGTCCGGCAGACAAGCAAGCACGTCAGCAGGGGTAGGCTGAACAGTGAGGTTCTCGCGAAGAGAATTAAAGTTGAGCCGAGCTTTGTCTATTGCCCCGCTCGAACCTTTAACCCTGACAGGACTTGCCTTCAATGTGCGAGTTTGTCGAATTGCCATCACCAACTGCCTAGCTTAGCCCCCGAGGTCTTCCAAGAGCATGGAAGAGGAACTCTCCAATGAGGTGCACAATCACTACACGGCAGCCAAGGCCCCCTAAAAAGTGCCTTCCGCCACTCGTGCCAGTTGAAGGAAAAGCTGTGGAAGAACGTGTTGTATTGATTCGAAAGCACGCACCAAGTGCTCATTTTCCAGATTCCAGGAATCGGGGAACATGATTGGTCTTGAATCCTGCCACCTGATGTTGTTGGGTGTGGCACGGGTAGGCTCCTCTTACTCTTGCAGGGTAGAATTTTTCGGAACTGTGGGACATCCGGGCATTCTCACTTTGCCTGCGAGATATGCTATGTAACTATACAGTTTTTATACAGTCCAAGAATCATTCATGGCTTATGCAGTTTGCCACAGGAGTTATGCCGGACTACGTGGTTGTTATGTAAGCTCGAGGCATGGCTGTCGCAGTCTCCGATGCTAAAGCATGTGAGGCTCGGGAGGAGAAGAAGGTGCTACAGCGAGAGCTTCAAGCCCGTGAGCATCTCTTATCGGAGCCCCGGCTTGCAGACTCTGGGTTAAAAGGGCACCAGTATGCACGGCCATATATCTCATCTGCAATTTTTAATTTCAACTAGAAGACTGTAAGATAGCTAAGCATGTCATGTGAACCGTCATGTTGGTGACACACAGTGCACTGCCAGGGGATCCTTAGTCATAGGGGTGTGCCTCCCGATGACTGGGTTCTCAAACACAGTTTCTTTGACTGGGGATGCCAAAGAACGCTTGCGGATGAAGCTGCCCGCTGAAAACAAACTTGTACAGCCCCGCCTTGTAACACACCACCATGCTTTTTGCAGCGATGACGAGGCCTTCGGAAGTACTTCACACCGGCTGATGACTGCCAAGCAGCTGGTAAGTGGTGCTGCCGACAAACAGCGGCTGCATGTCTGCACATGGAGTACATTGCTTTTTTTTCTCTTTGCTCCTACGGTTAGGTGTTTGGGGTCGGCCGCTCCTTGTGATTCAATTGTATCTTATCACCGATGCTCGATGAGAAGTGGTCATAGCCTTGTAAGTGACCATCGTGCAAACTGGTCCACTATGCTTTTGCGACTTGTGTCACCGCTGTCGTGGCCTGCATCTCTGATGATCATTCTTGGTCCTCCTAGGTTCCAGCAGCTCAAGCAAGAAGTGGAGAAGCTTGGGCAGAGCCCGTCGCATACCGAGCTGCAGATCCTCATGAGCAGCTTTGACAACCTGGTCCAGCAGGAGGAGCAGGAACTGACCGAGATTTGGAAGCAATCAGCTTGTCTTGGTACCTGCAGCGCCGTTCCTCGCTCTCGCTTTACGTTTCACTCCCCTGCGGAAGCGCCACGTGCAGTGCCGTAAGGATGCCGTGGTCACGGCGGTCTCGCGCCAAGAGCAAGCCGAGTCTCGCGACCAGCACGAGCTGGAAGATCTTAAAGCCAAAATGCTGAAGCTGGACTCCTCTGCGCAAACGCCAGCCATTGCCACAAAGACTGAGCGCAACAAGCTCGAACGCATCTGTGCTGTGACAATGAGTGGTGTCAAAGCTCGACACTTACAGCGTGAGGTTCAGTGTGTAGCAATTCGATTTGCGATAGCATTAGTGAGTGAACTGACCCTGCCGTAGGATGAACTTGCACGATCGACAGCATCCAGTGCTGGAGACCAAAGCAAATCAGCCTGCTCTAGGAAGCCTTGCAGACTCATCGAAGACCCCCTTCCTTCATATTCGGGCCCATGCTTTCGCAGGGTCCCCTGGCTTACACATCACTGACGCTCCGGCAGTGCGGAAGCGAGTATGCCTCGCCTTTCCGGCAGGCTGACAGGGCTTAAAGATTCAGCAAGATGCAAGGGATCACTTTGGGCCTTCGCTGTCGCATCAAGACGATTTTTGGATGCATACTTGTCAAAAGGCATGCTTCTTACGTGCAGTCAGTCATGGTATTTAGGTCGTTCCGATTCTGGTTTGGGTGAACTTGAGGGACATCTGAACTTGAATTTTGGCCTGGACTTGTCACTCGTCAGTGCGACCAGCGCTCGAGGTGCTCGCAGAGCTGCACTACCATCACCACAGATCTCCTGCAAAGGATCCTCCTGGAAGTGCACCGAATTCGTGCATGAGATGGAGCTGAGCTCGAGCATTAGCGCACGGCCTTCTTGACTGAGCGGCAGCCCGCCCGGGTTATATCCCACGCGTTTAATTGCAACGTCTTGCAACCGTATATCCGCCAAAAAGAGTCTTGCTGCCCCATGTCCTCTGGCCTTCCAGGAAGCCTCCTTGTCTGAAGCGTGGGACGGGGATCATGCGGAGGAGGAAAATGTAGCTTCAGGGTTTCGCTACAATAAATAAGAGTGAGGAAGTCAGCCGAATCTTCGATACTGGGTGCCGATGCCGAAGCCAAAACCAAAAGGGACGGAGTGCTGGGCAGATGCTCGGCCGCTCTCCATCACACTCTCAGGGATTTGTTTTCCCATAAGCAAAATCTACTCTGCCCCGCTTCCCACGGCAAGTCCTCGAGAAGAAGCAATTCAGTCGACCCTGCCGACCCCAGCGGCTGAACGGCACTCGGACTCTGAAACCCGACAATTTCAGGTATGCAAAATGTGCATAGGACTGCAGTTATGATGTGGCAGAGATTCTCCGCAGCAGTCTTCGCAGAAACTTGCGCACGGTTGCTCTAGCCTAGCAGTCTTCGGGCGCCATGCAAGCAACACAGCCCAACCCAACACAAATGCACACTCTTTTGCCAGATGAGGTGTGTCGGGAAAAGCCTGAAGTGAAAGCCTCCCGTGCATGTCCACGAAGCCATGGTGGGGGCTTGCCGCTGTTCGACAGCATGCGTTTGCCATGCTCGGCTGCTCAGCTTAGACAGCAAAGTGGCTACCGAATCGAGGTGATTAGCTGTGGACCCAAACCGTCTCAACACTCGCGACATTAGCATAGAGACCAATGTAGATAGACAATCCCAGGCTCTGGGATTGCAAGCACTGGTTGAGCACCTGAAGCCTGTTTGGCACATCCTCGTGCCATACAGCTTGCTGAGTGTCTTGTGGCTTGGCTTAGGCAGCAACGGTAAGTGGTGGTGTCGGTTTGACACAATGTGCACGTCAGCAGCAGTCCCTTAAGCAATTTCGACTCAGGTTCACTCTGGCTGTGCAGCTCTACGGGCCTTTCCTGCGTTCCATGGTGGAATGCACGGAGCAGATAAAGCCTGCTGCAAAGTTCAGTGGCTCCACTCACTGCGGCAACTCTCACTATGTCCTCTCCGTGGCACAAGCACAAGAGGGCAGGTTAGTAGCAATGAAGCTCCTGGTGCATGCTTTTGCGGGCCCATTGCTTGCACTGTTGGCAGACAGTATGGGGCGTCGACCTATCTTGCTTCTGGGATTGACAGGCTTTCTGACAGCTTTCCTGTTGTTCGCTTTGGTAGCGTTGCTTCCATCGCTGCATGGATCTAGCGGTGCAATATCGCTTTGCTTCTTCCTGGAGGGTGCTACGAGTGCCTTTGACGTCGTGTTTCTGTCCATGCTTGCAGACACGGCGAAGTCACCTGCAGCTCGCGTCACATCTTTCTCCCTGTACTATGTCGCTTGATGCAATATTCTAGTACAGGAAAGGATAACTTAGTATAAGGGTAGAATGATCTGTCCCTAGCGTTCGGTGCTCCTCCCTTGACAGCTTTTCGGCTTTCCTTTTGGCCCAGGCTACAGGAGCCTTCGGCAATGCTATTGCCATCGGCATCTTCGTGGAAGAGATGAGCTGGGAAGTCAGAGATTTCGGCTTGACATGGGCCTCCATGTCCCTTGCGATGGCGATGCTTATCCTGTGCCCACGGGACACCAGCTCACTGTACTCGTAACAATTCTGCGGGTTTTAATCTCCAGGAATACTCGTCAGATCTGTCACAGGCCAGTAGAGTTTACTCGCTACCGTCAGCCCCGGACAGACGTGTTGGGGGTTTTTGGGCGAATTTGCCAACGGGGGGGACAGAGGTTGCAGCCGCACCGCCTTAGGAGTTGCAAAGCAAGGACGTAACTTAACTATAGAGTTGGTCACGCTCACTTAGCTGATGCACTGTTTTGGACACGCTATCGGCGCACCAGGTACGTACTGGCTTATGTGCCAGAAACGCTCCCGTCAGCAATGCTTTTGAAGTCGAAGCACTCGAAGCTGAAAGCTCCACACGTACAGCTCATGGGACAGGCAATAGAGCAAATACAGTTCCTGGCATCCAGTCGCTTTCTCCAGATATGGTTGCTGGCCGTGCTTTTCAAATCTTTGGCATCAGGATTGTCCAGCATCAATGCCTCTTTCACTCTGGCTGTGTATGGCTGGAATCCTGGAGAATGGCAAGCCTGGATATGGCCCTCCGAGATCATCTCTATGAGTAGTTTGGGTATTTTGGGACCTTGGGCAGGCCGGAAGAAAGCTGAGTCAGTCATTTCGGTCACAGCGCTGGTATCGGTAGCAGCTCACGTTCTGCAGATGCTGGCACCGTTCCACGCGTTGGCGCTCCTTGGGCCCCACTTCATTGCCGGCCTGTTGGCGTTTGTGCGGCCTGTTTCAGCCGCCTACCTGAGCGGGCGATTCCCGGCTTCTCAGCAAGCCAAAGTGCAAGCGATCGCCCATCTCAGCCACAACTGCGGCATCTCCCTGTCCATGGCGATCTTCTCATCGCCGCAACTCTTCAGGCCTCACGCTCGTGGCTGGGATGCTGCTCGACCATTCCTGCACGCCACTAAGTCCCATCCGAAACTTCATGCGGCATGTTGCAGCAACCGTCTCTTCTCGCCACATAGCTGCACGATGTTCAGCAGGCTCAAGCCTGCAGGTGAGGTCATGCATGAAGCACATCGTTGTGCGGTACGTGTCTCTGTCAAACCGCAGAAAGAGGCTCCCAACCCTGGTTTGCGCGCGCTTCGTTCCTACGTTGGAGATGTTCATGTATGCGAGTTAGGCCCAGCACAATCTAGCAAAGTTTGGTTGGATTCTCGAGTATTGTATATTGGGCAGCCATGCAGTCGCGACATCGATCATGCCGACGACGCATTGCCCAAGTTTGCCTGTCTCTGGGCTCAACGCAAGGTTTTCATATGTTTTCATGTCCCGGAAGGAGTAGTGACAAAAGACACAGCAACAATAATAATGACAACAATCACGACATAATGGCAAGAAGTTGGTTGCAGCGAGTTGTCAGGCATCTCGTTTGGCTGCTCTTTGCCTCTGCCTTTCTCAAGCATTCGAGCTGCGTCTTCATCGGTCGCTTGACCGGGTTTGGATGCGGGGAAACCATGGCTTGCGGTGGGGGCTCACTAGATTCCACCCTTAGTTTTGCAAACTCGGTAAGTCGATCCGACAATGGTCATGGTATTTCAGCTGACACATGACGTGTGAAGACCACGCAGAAGCGAGCAGATTGCATCTGCGATGCCCGGTCCAAGGTGAGCCGGGGCGACGTGCCCTGCTTTTGAACCTGGGTCTTTGGCTCCCGCTGCCGGCGCAAGCAGCCTTCGAGAACGCGTTGCTGGAAGCATTGTCTCAGATTTTCTGCTTGTTCTCGTGTGTGTGTGTGTGTGTCTGAGTTTGAAGATGAAGAAATTCACTGGAAAGGAGAGGGCCATTCTGAGTTTTGAAGCTGAAGCACTACCTGGGGCTTACTGAGGGGGACCCGAAAGCAGCAATGCCAGCAGCACGCACCCAACAACCTAGACCTAGACCTAGACACAAGCACGGAATTGTACAGCAGATATGGGAGATGCAGTTGCCTGTACTGCCCTTCAGCTTGTAGTCGCGCGCATTCCATTCTCGGATCTGCAAGCTATTTGCCACGCAAAGGCTTCCGGAGATTGCCAAGTTCCCCGACAAGAGAACGCCGGGCAACAAGCCAGACGATCTGGGGTTGCAACCTCGCACGCTGACGCATGTCATTGACAGATGACCCGCGGTTTCCCTCAAGTGACGGGTCAATTCCAGTATGCGTGCATGTGCATGCCCTAACGTAGCAGATCGCGAGACCAGGAATCGCTTCGGCGACAAATCCGACGGGCCTGTGCTGAAGGGCTGCGGCTACGGGCCGAACTGTTTCTCTACAACTGGTGACCCCGAGGTGCCAACTGAGGCGAGCGTGCTTGTCACTGAAGCTGTTCTTCTGGCAGGACCCCCAGATCACCACACTGCTTCAGCCGTGGAAGATACCAGATGGCGCCAGTGTGGCAGATGCCTCTGCGCAGCTCGAAGAGACAGTTCGTGCATATCCGCCAGGCGGGCCTCATGACGAAAGAAGTCCGTCACACCTGTACATCTTGCAATGGATGCGAGGTCAACAAAAGGTTGATGGTGGTGGGTTCCAAGTTGTCAAAGCTGGATCGGATGGCTATCTGTATGCCCAGTTCGAAAGCTTGAAGACTCTCAGCGGGAATAGTCAGTTTCGGAATCTCGCGATGCACAGCTTCACATTCGACCGACCGGACCGCAACCAAGGAAAGGCAAGATTGACGATGTGGAGTTCGCAATAAACAAGGATGGGAATTGCTTGGGGTTCTCAAGCCTGACGCCTTGTGGGCGGACCGATGCAGTGAGGGACGTCCTCCAAAGCTGTTAGGAGGCAGGAAGAACGAGCATCATGGCATCATTGGAATCATGAGCAGTCCAAGAGTCCAAGAAGTTTTGCTAGGATGGCACGGTTCAAGTGCGGTCCTCTGGACGCATCGGCCTCAAAGCCGATTATGGCTCCAACGAAGCCTGGCTGAATACTTCAGAATCACATGGCCAATTTGGCAAGTGCTGGATGTTTTGCATTTCCAGCTAGTCGAACCTCACCTGTGCTCGCCACAGAAGAGATCTTTACCGAGAGCCTGTGAAAGTGAACGCCTGAAGCTGCAGCATGTAATGTTGTGCGCAAGTAGTTCTTCCGAGGCCAAACGATTGAATTACATTTCGGAGCGGCTTGGATATATCAACCTCGGAAGATTCTACATCCCAGCACGCGGCTAGCATAGTTGTTTAATGGTGGGGGCCACTTGCAGCTTCAACCTCCTTGCTCAGGCAGCTGCGAGCAAAAGGCTGGACAGCTCCGGTGATCACGAATCTTGGAAGTCCAAAGCGATCGCCATGCTCAAGGTTCTCCTGGCCGAAGCGCCACAGCACAGCGACAAGGTCGAGAGGTCAGAGGTCCATAGAAAAGCTTCGAAACGTCAATTTCCCTCGCCACAACGCTCTCAGCTCGAGGTTGTCTCAATATACTCCTCTTATTGCCCCGCCATGCTACACCCCGAGGAAAGACACGCATGCGTATTATTTCGCGATGAACTCTGGCAAGACGAAGGCGGCAGCTGCTTTGGCCATGGGTACTAGGCATGTGACCCGCGCAGCGGTACCCTTTGCCTGACAATCCGGCACTGTCTTGCAGCAGTCTGTTAGAGTAGCAATAGCTGCCGGACAGAAGAGCACATGAACTTCTGATTGGCTGTCAGTTTCAGTGCGTTGGGATCGATTGCCCGGTGAACTACGAACTTTGATTGCAAGCCAGTTTGTGCACATGGCTCTTGCATGGCAGTCTGCAGTGTTACCGTACATGTGCCAAGGAACTAATCGAAGAGGACTGACAGCTCCGCCACACTTTGGACGCGTTTTTGTTTTGGGTGAAAGCTTATGCGTTTTTTGACTAAGCTTTCAGGAACCTGGGCCGGGAGAAAGCGAGTGAGGACGGCTTTCATTCGAAGCTGCGGCCAAGGAAACCAAAAAAGCGCATCAACTCGCATTGCAAGACAGACGAACCCGACTGCCAGCAGCTGTGAGCATGATTCTTTTGACCAAGGTTGGCCGGCATCCTGTCCACGATCGGCAATCTAACCAAGATGTTTCTGGCATGGTTCCTGGCTTCCTGCAAAGCACCGACAGAATCCGAAACCTTGTTAGAGCACCGGCACAGGGGCCCAGAGCAGAGCTCAGGTGCAGCAAGCCCGTGGTACTGCTCGGGCCTCGCAGCTCAGGGACTCTGAAAAGGGTGTCTCGGGATTCTTCCTCGGGTCTTGCGGGTGCGCTCACCTTTCGGATTGCTGTGATGGGCGAAGATGGAAGACCAGGGCTTGGTAAGCGCCATTATGTACCGCCCTTGAACAGCAAAGCAAGCCTGGCTATCGAGCTACTGTCGTGGTTTCCGCTGCATTTGAAGGAAGTTATACATGGTTACTGGGCGGGCGTTTGCAATGAGACCCTTTGTATTAACTATCCTTTTGTCTAATTGGCCGGGCAAGGGTGTCCAAAATTCTGGAGCAGGTATCAGTGCCAGCAACATTGGTACGGGACAGATCGTTATACATGTTGTTGCATGTCGGTGGCATGGCGCCTCTCGCTGCCGCTGCGTCAGGGCAGACCCCGCTAACTGCGGCAGCTCGGCAGAAGTCTGCGAGAAGTGCTGTGCGTGTGGCTTTGAGCTGGCCGCTACTGGCGGCTGCTTGCGGATTCTCTCAGCGAGTCTCTCTTTGCAGGGCTAGCGGCCTATAAAGCTGAGGCATCCCATGTCTAGCACGACTTTGGGCGAAGATGAGAGCAGGATTTGTGGCCTGGTCTTGGTCACTTGAGGTAATGTCACCCTGCATCACATGTATAGTTATCTGTAGGAGCCAGGCCAGAGAATGTAACCCCTCACGGAACTGAGGCGTCGCCGTTCGCTGCAGACCGCACCCTGGCTTCACGAGATGGTTGCTTTTACAGAGCAGTTCCAAGCTTGTTTCCTGCTTGTGCGCTTTGAACATCTTTGAACAAAGTATCCGGATACAGATCGACCAAGTAGAAGTCCCGAATCCCACAGGATTGCACAGTGGACGACATACATTTTGATGCTGCTGAATCAATCCTTAACCGACTCGAGTCCATGGTTGGTATCGCTAGACACGCAGCGGCGGCATGCAACGGCCACAGGAAATCGAACGGCGGGCAGGCTATGACAAGGCTCACCGAAATTTTGTCCGTTCTTTGTCTCGTGAGGCTGTCGGACACGGAGCGGAACCATGAGGTGTTCGACGTCTGCAGAGCCCGGATCTCGACGTGGTCACAGTAGTTCCAGGGGTCTTGTTCTTTGAGGGGAAGTGCCCGCCCGGCCTGGTTGAGGTCGCTGCAATTGGCGGGTTTAAACGACTTTGCGACATGAAAAGGGGTGGGATATGTTGAGGAGCACCCGGAACTTGTTTAGGTTGGCGGAATGGAACACGAAGGGAGATCGGGGGGCCTTCCGGATCAAAGCAACACTGTTCAACACAAGGCAAGCGCATGCTGTCGCTACTGTCACCCACATTTCAAGTCACATAGTTTGTAGCTTGCACAGTGGCTGAGACTCAAGCTCTCCCTATGCAGGAGGCACAACAAACCAGAGTCAGAGCTTCAAATAGATTCGCCAAAGCCACCATTGCGAAAGTGCTTCGTGTTTCGGGTCAAGGACTCTTCACTCCAGGGAGCAAAGCCCGGCGAAGCCGCTAGCTTTTAGCTGCATGTAGTCTTTCTTGGTCGGCGTTGACTTCCCCTCGCCACCTCCTTTCATTCTTCTTGCTGCTCCTGTCCCAATCACTGCTGTTCTCTGTCCTGCTTACCACTGGCCGCTCTTTGATTTGTCTGCTTGTTCTGGGTTGTGAACGGCAACAAGAGTCCATGTCCACGCTCTCAGATCATGGACCGCCGCTTGGTCATCCTTCTGGATCCTGGTGCTGCAGCTGGACTTGACCGGGAGGGTGGGGGGAGGTGGCCTAGCTTCACCCAGCAGTGATTGTGAAACGGCTGAGGCATCGAATGACTACCTCAGACACGACAAGTCGAAGGACAGGCAGCTGCAAAAGTCATGGACAGTGTGCACGTGTAGCCTTCTGCAGATAGATGGAACTAAAAAATCGTCATTTCTGAAATAATAGCAATGCTGGATCCGCGATGTGCCTGTCAACCTGCAGGAAAAGCGATTTGCTTTCGACCAAGCTTTCGGCGCAGATACGGAGACTGAGACTGTTTCAGAGTCTGATGCTTTCTGCAAGTGGCAGCAATAGTAAACACATTGTTGGTATTGTGCTGTGGAGCAGTTGCGACAAAGGACAATGGAGTCCTTTTCAGTGCGACAGCCGAGCCTCTGATAGGCACAGCAGTGAAGAGTAAGCAAGACTGCGGGATTGATTTTCTGTCACTATGAGGTCTATTCAGGCTATTTCAGGCTGTTGACTGCTTTGCATCATGAAAACCACAGAACTTTGGCCATGTCCATGTCCCCTGCAGACAGCGTCCTGGCCGGCCACTCGCTCTGCAGCTGTGATAGTGGCTGGGGGAACTCGGAGGAAGCGTAGGTGCATAGCTCTTCATTGGTTTCTTGTACCGTTTTCTGGCTGTCTCAGCAGAAGCTTGATCGCAGCAGCATTGTCTAGTGGCACCATTGCCTTAATTAAGCTGCTCAGCCAATCGTGAGGCCTAAACTGCAGCGTTTTCGCTTACGGGGCAACGGGAGCTGGCAAGACCTTTACGATGCATCTTGGCGCAAGTGTTGCCTATGCGGCCGTCCCTTGAGTTTAACGCTCATCAGTCCAGCGGTGTATCCATTCCCAAGCTGGGCTTAGGATCGGCACTCCGGCCGAACCAGGTGTCATGTTCCGCACAGTTGCTGGCCTGTTCGCCAGATCGGCTCCTGGACAGGACCACGGTGTTTCTGTTGCTTGATCCCTGCCTGCAGTTGGGCATTTTTGTTGCTCCCCACATGCAGTTGCAAAGCTTAAGTCTTAAGCTTCAAGTCAGAGAGTGTTTTCATCGGTACAGGCTCCTTCGTGGAAGTCTACAACGAGGTGCTGCGCGACTTGGGCTCCCGAGACGGCCGAGAAGGGATGCTGGACTTGCGGGAGGATCCAATGACAGGAGCACTGCTGACCTGCAAAGCCAAAGGCGTCGATAGTATAATCGCCCTGAGCTTTGCCCGGTGCGGCTGCACGACGACGACGACGGCGACGACGACGACAACAACCGCTACTTCTTAATGCTGCCCTTGGTGCAGTGGCGGTTGCAGAACCAGTAGCAGTAGTAGCGGGAGGAGGAGGAGGACCAGGAGTAGTGGTGGTGGTGGTAGTAGTAGGAGTAGTAGTAGGAGGAGGAGTAGTGGTAGCAGGAGTAGTAGGAGGAGGAGTAGTAGCAGGAGTTGATAGTCGTCGTCCCTGTCGTCGTCGCAGTCGTAGTAGCAGTGGTAGTAGTAGTCGTCGTCGTGGTGGTGGTAGTGGTGGGAGTAGTAGTAGTA